AGAAAAGCAACATTGACATATGCAAGGAAAGCTCGACAATCCCCAGCCTCGTGGCCCCCCGAGGTTGCCAGAGTTGGGCTGATGTGGCCATCACATCCATGATGGACACTTTATTTTGTGGTTTACACAGACAGATCATACCACACATAGTCATCGACAGCTCTTTTCTTCTTAATATATCTTGTATATAACTCTAGGCATATATTACAGATCGATAGATCATTTTAATAATGGCACAAAATCCCACAGTATAGCTCTACCATCTTTATTTATTCAACTCTTCCTGTACTGATGGATGTTCCTGTTGGTTCTGTTGGTTTTCCTACCACAGCTGTTGCTGCAGTAAATATTCTTGCTCCATTTTGCAAAGAGCAGTTGCTGGATCAATGCGTGTTTTATAATTATAAATTTCATTTTATAAGATACTGCTAAATTACTTTTCCAAAACAGGGTTACTCTCCCATAAATACCTTTTTAACAGTATTTTTGAAAAGAAACTCTGCTTCTGCAAAGGAGCAGAGCCTGTGCGGAGACTAAAGCCTTCCCTTCATCGTGGGCGCCCTTGAACCTCTTCATGGACAAAGGGTCTCACACTGGCCTCTCTTGGCAGCACTCAGGCCACGCATACGTTGGTTAGCACGGCGCTGTTGTTTGAAAATTAACTCGTTATCAGTGTTTAAAGGGAATCATGGAACTCAGATTTCCGGTTTCTCTTGGAAAATGGATAGTTCTGGCAAACCGGATGCTTGGTCCTCGGTGGTCTTGGTGGGTGGGAGCTGAGGGGCAGCCTTGCCCTTGGAGGCTGGGCCTGTCCTCCCTCTCCATCCACAGCCCTCACCCCAGGCAGAAGCCCTTGTTTCTGTTATTGGCCTGGCCCTGTAGCTTTTGAGTTTGTGATTCCTGGTTTCAACCAGGGTTTCCCAGCCGTGGCCCTGTTGACCTTCGCAGCTGGGTCCATCCAGGGTGGGCCATGGGTCCATCCTGTGTACCGCATGTCCAGGAAAGTCCCCGGACATCACCTCCGGCTGAAAACCACTGGCTCAAACAGACCCACAAATCCCATTTTCTTCGGTGGATGTTGAGATCAGCTTTTCCCAGCGTGTTCCTGAGCCGCTTTCATTATTTCTCTCTATCCTGTAGGCCTCTGTCTCGGGTTCTGAAGGAATGTTGTTGAATTCTGTACACAACCAAGCTTTAAAGTCACGGAAATATTTCAAACCAGCCCCATTCGCCGCATTGCGAGAAAATATCTGAGCGGAGAAAGTGATCAAAACACTTTCCTTTCATCTCCGGAACAGAAGTGTAGACACGGCCGTGATTCCAGGTGGTTTCTGAAGTGAAAGCTTTACCTAATTACACACACGCAAAAGGTACAATTTCTAAACACTGGATGAAGAGGCTTGAATAAGTCCCTGGAAGAAAGGGAGACGTTGCCTTTGTTCCCTTGGGTTTTCTTTTTGTGGTTTAGGGCCTCGGGCAAGCACCCTTCTCCCCTTCTGTTCTCACAAGAGTTCTCCTCAGAATGTTCCCAAGCATCAGGAAGAATCAGCAAGGCTGGGGAGGGGGTCTCTCCAGGGCTTTTCTCCCCCTTTGCCTTCTCTCTCCTTCTCTGACAGGAGCAAATGACTTTCCTACATCTTTTCTCATTAGAATTAATAGAGAAGTATTAATTCTTTCCCTAAAGCTATTAGTTAAGTCACAGAGCTCCGGAATGGCTGAAACAGGGTAATTTCTCCTTCCTTCCAACATGTAAATCTCGAGGCAAGATGAGAAGCTTTTGTGAGTGTATCAATTAGGTCCCCAGGAAGGGACCCTCATAGACAATTTTCATTTAGCCATGGGAAACTTTTAAAATAACGATACATAGACTAGATGGGCTGCTGTGTTCTGTCTTGGCATTTAACGTTTCAAATGGCATTTCTTCGATCATCTCTTTTCCTGACGTGATTTCATCATCCTATTTTCACTCTGTATTTTAAAGTCACTCTCTTGTTGTCTGGACAGGATACAACTTTTAACTTAAAGCAAGATTTTTTTTTTTTTGCGGTACGCGGGCCTCTCGCTGTTGTGGCCCCTCCCGTTGCGGAGCACAGGCTCCGGACGCGCAGGCTCAGCGGCCATGGCTCACAGGCCCAGCCGCTCCACGGCATGTGGGATCTTCCCGGACCGGGGCACGAACCCGTGCGCCCGGCAACGGCAGGCGGACTCTCAACCGCTGCGCCACCAGGGAAGCCCCTTAAAGCAATATGTTAAACACCGATTTGCACTAAACATAGTCTATTAGGTGAAGAATTTCTGTGCGAGGACAGTTCTTGTCTTCATTGCCTTTCATCAAGGGAATAGAAAAGAGATGAGAACCACAAAGGAAAGTGGTTTCTGAAATAAAAGATTCATTTGTGATTACTTAGAGGCGAACCTTCCGAAGACTGCATTAGGGTAGCACAGAAATACCCGATGCTGTACTCGATCAATATATTTTCCTGGCTGTCTCTCAAGTCGCTCTCTGCCTGTGGGACTCAAGTGGGTGGCCGCTCCCCACGTCCTACAGTCCACCCACTTCTGATTGTTTTCTGATTGGAATGAATGTCCCCAGCCCCTGCCTGAGAAGAATAGAGCTTCTTCCCTTCATCATTTTCAGCCGTATTTTTTTCTTCTTCAGAGGCCTTATAAACAAAAATTGTAATACGATTGCAGAAACAAATGAATTTACTTGCAGAAAATTTTAGTCTGATATCTGGTGTGCCATAGAGCCTTAAAAAATATTGGTTGAATAATTACTCGAATGAATGATTCAGACTCGGTAGAGAGAAAACCGGCCCCAAACAGGTGGCATGTGGGAACGGTTTCACAGCGTGCGTGGTTTTACTCATTTCCGTGGATACAGGTGGGGTCAGGGCCCCGTTGTACCATCTCATTGCACCCTCTGCTTTTTCCTTCCTAGCATTTGCTACATATGCTTGGTGATTTTTTTTTCCGATTGGACTTTTATTTTTTTCATATTCTTTTCCATTATGGTTTATTACAGGATATTGAATATAGTTCCCCATGTGATACAGTAGGACCTTGTTGTTTATCCATCCGATATATAATAGTTTGCATCTGCTAACCCCAAACTCCCAGTCCATCCCTCCTCCAACCCTCCCTTCCCTTTGGCAACCACAAGTCTGTCCTCTATGTCTGTGAGTCTGTTTCTGTTTTGTAGACAAGTTCATTTGTCATATTTTAGATTCCACATATAAGTGATATATGATGTTTGTCTTTGTCTGACTTACTTCACTTAGTATGATAGTCTCTAGGTCCGTCCATATTGCTGCAAAAGGCATTATTTCATTCTTTTTTATGGCTGAGTAGTATTCCGTTGTGCATGTGTACCGCATCTTCTTTATCCATTCGTCTGTCGATGGACATTTAGGTTGTTTCCATGCCTTGGCTACTGTGAATAGTGCTGCTATGAACATAGGGGTGCATGTATCTTTCTGAATTAGAGTTTTGTCTGGATATATGTCCAAGAGTGGGATTGCTGGGTCACGTGGTAGCTCTATTTTTAGTTTTCTGAGGAACCTCCATATTGTTCTCCATAGTGGCTGCACCAATTTACATTCCACCGGCAGTGTAGGAGGGTTCCCTTTTCTCCATACCCTCTCCAGCATTTGTTATTTGTAAGTGATTTTTTTTTTTTTTTGGTGTAATTATTTGCTGGCTGAATTTCTCCCCCCATTAGACTGTCATTTCCATGAGGGTATCTGCCTCCGTCACTGAATACATTGCCTGTGTTCAGCACAGTTCCTGGCACAGAGCGTTGACTGTGGTCAGTGCTCAATAAATATTTAGGCTCCATCATATGGGCTCATAAATGGGCTCAAAAAATATGGACTCAAAGGGGCTCAACTAGTATTTGGAATATGAGCAAATAGCTGCCCACATAGTGATTCCTCTTAGAGTTCTGCCCCGCCTTCCTTAAGTAATTGCACATTTTAATTGCTAGCACATTTTGCATCCTTCGATGACAGGGTTGCTTGTAAACAATTTCATCTCAGATAAATTAGTAGTCTGGGAGATTACCCCTGGGATTGTGTTGATGCTTATAGCTTACTTAATGAGGCCAACGTGATAGACTCATTTTTGCCCCTTCCTTATAATTCAGCGTCTTTGGACTCCAAATTCATGGAGGTTTGGGGTATATTGGGGCAACTGATGAAAAGGCATCAGATTACTTACATTTTCAGATAATGATATAATAGAGTAATATGTCTGTTAGCATTTTAACAAGGCCTCGCAATGAGACAGCCTGCAGGAGGCTTGACATTAAAGATGTCACCAGTTAAGCTGTAAGTTTCATCGTGTTGTTTCTTCACTCCGTTTTCCTTCTAATTATTTTACAGTTTCCTGCTGCCTTTCCAAGATGGCTAAATTTAAATTTGCTACAATACGAAGCAGTCTCTTCCTCTCTCCACGTGGTTTGGCAATGAGTTCTGAGGGAAATTATTAAAAACGCAGCCTTTAATCGGGGTGGGGGGGGCAGAACAGCACACAGAGCTGTGATGAGAGATGGGTCCTATAGTAAGATTCTGGTAATTGCGTAAGAGCGGTCGAATTCGCAAAGATTGCGATAGGACGGTGGAATCCATAATTTCTGAAGATGTACAAAGTGATTCCCAGAGTGATGCCGAAACGTAGAGAGGATGCCGTTCTGTGCTTTAACCCTTGACTGGAGCCCTACCGGCCTTTTGAAAAGGGCCATTCATCTAATAGCAAGGATGCTTTCCTTCTTCAAGAGTCACAATTCGCTTAACACACTTCTGTGACATTATTTGGGCATTTTTCACAATGATTAAAGGTAACGCACTTTTCTCTGTAGACTGTTAGGTCACAGGCAAATTAAATCAATGTATTTTCTTCCCTTGCTTCCTCGATGAGTCAGAAGTTATTGGTCAACGGCGTGCATGACCTTTTCGTTAAGCTTAAAAACCCAAATGACCTGCTGAGAAGATGCTTGGCCAATCTGATTATTTTCTCTGTACTAATTGGTTTTACGTCTTCTTTGAATTGAATGAATTGCCTGGTGGTTTTGTCACTGTGGGAGCACAGCTTAATCCACTTAGAGCGAGGCGCTTGGGCTTGGTAAACTCTGGAGCTCTAGAAACGTTTTTCATCATTGTGGTCTTTGGGTGATTTTTCGTAGGTGAGAATGCAGATGGATCTCAAATCCATCCATTTTCTCCATTTCTATTTCCACTGCCGTAGCCAAGTCATCTCACCTGGCCCCCTAGACTACTTTGGGAACCTTGTAACTGGTTTTCCCATCCTATTCCCCTCTCTCCTTCTTCAGCCTCCATATAGTAGCCAGGTGCCTCTTTAGAAGATATAGACCTCTTGCTGGAAACACTGGTTTCTTCACAATGAATGAAGAATAAAATCTAAACCCCCTCCCAGGGCTGCCTGCACCCTACAAGATCTGAGCCCTTGGTGGCTTCCTCAGCTTCATTCTGCCCCGTGCTCACCACCATCTTTCCACCACCGCCATCCACTGATTCCTTAATCCTCCCAGCTCCATCCTGCCGCAGGGCCCCTGCCTCTGTTCCTCCTTTGTCTGGAATGGCCTTTGAGGGCCATTCTTATCCTGAAGGTCTCATTTCAGGTGTCACCTTCTCAGAGATGCCTTCCTCAACTAGGCAAGCCGGTTACTCTCTGTAATCTGCCCTTCAGGGACTGTTACTCTCTATAATATTCCCTGTTTTTCATCACTTTTGTTATTACTCTACCCTCTCCCGTTTATTGCATCTTTGTCATAGCCTCCTGTGTATGTAGGGGTCTGGGGTCCCCCTACATAGACCCCAGGGTCTCTCTGGGGTCCCCCCCCCGTTTATTTCCTTCGTGACCCCCGTCACAACCTCAATTATCTTACTTGTCTCTGTTTCTCTTCCCCGTCGGAACAGAGGCTCCTGAGGGCCAGGGCACCTTGGTCTTGTCCTCCAACTCCTCAGGGTTGAACATGGTACCTGGTTCCTTGAAGGAGCCCAGGACATGTCTGTTGAGCGGATGAATGAAATACCAAAGACCCCGGTGCTGCATCTTTAGGCGATCTCAGTAACGTGGTGCGCAAGTGAACATTGTTTGTATTAAAGGAAAAATCATTGCTTCCTTTCCCAAATTGTCGCAACGTTGATGGATTTTTAAAGTTGATTTGCTCAAGATTAGTGTGCTCGATCATCTTAGTGACCTACCCCTGGGGGTATAAGAAGTAGGTCTGTTCTTTTGGGTTCAAGGTGGAGGACAGAGCACATACACTTCCTACACTTCCCTCCCAGACATTAGTGAAGGAATGTGTTTGGAATGCCCAGGCCCAAGGGGACAAGATGACTGGAGAAGAAATGGCGCCATGATTGTAGGGGCTGGAATGCAGAGGCTAAGTGGTCACTGATTAGCAGACCCAAGTGAACTTAATCCTTGTTTAACAGTGGTCAAGCCCTAGACATTCAGAAATCCATGGTACCAGGTGGGGCTGAAAACAGGAGCGTTGGTTGAAAGAATCAGCAGCATTCAAACCACCCCCCCACCCAGATCTGCACCCCGCCCCTGCTTCTCAGAGCCTGGTCACGTCCCTCACTCTCGCCCCCAGATAAGACTCTGGGCTTACTCTCTGGAGACTCTACAAAATGCTGGGGAGCAAGGGGGCTGTACTGAAAACGGGGTTTAAGCAAAGGCTGGCACTGCACATCGAGGCCCCGCTCTCAATCCCAATTCCGACTGCAGGATGCTGGAACCTGCCTTACACTTTCCAGGCAGGAGATCAGAGAACTCCTTGGGCAGAAGCCGACCGGCCCGTGTGGAAGACCTAACGGGGATTACTTCAGGTCTCTCCACATCAACAGGGCAACCAGATAACCCTGCAGGGAGGTCCACGATTGACATTTTATGTTTGTAAAGTGTTTCTAACCAGTTTTTCAGTGCCTATTTCCTAAACATGAGCAGGTAGTTAAGATTGCTGGGTATCTCAGGGAAGCCTTTAGTGGGAAGGAGAGAGATAAAAACATACAGAAACAAAGGAACTTGGAAGAAAGAGAGACAATATAGGAAGAGGCGAACTTCAGCAATAACAATGACAACAGATCATTGTTAATCTTGCCTGAGACAGAAGGGAAGATGTTGGAGCCATGAAATAGTAACAGGATGCTATAAAGAAGGAATAATAATAATAATTAATAATAATAATGAAATTAAAAACATGATAGCAGACACGGACACCTCTGAGTTGAAATAGAAAGTTGAAAGAATTCTCCCAAGTGAAAAAGACAAAGAATTAGAAAATAGGAGAGAAAAGATAAGAAAAATAGAGGATTAGATCAAGATGTCCAATAACCTATGAAGAGCAGTTCTAGAAAAAGAGAAAAGACAAAACATAAGGAAAAAAAATATATCAAAGAAATAACATTTTTCTAAAATGGAAAGACGTGGTTCAGGTTGAAAGGGCCCACTGAATGTCCTGACAATGAATGGAAATAGACCCAGGACCACGGTAACACTGGCATAAAAAGAGTTTAGGAGTTTCCAGAGAGAGAGAAACCAGAAGGTTTCCTCCAAAGGATCGGGAACCATGAATCATGTTGGCTCCAGACTTCTCAACAACTAGAGCTCAGTGGAGCTGAGCTCTACTGAAGGAAGATGAATTTTAATTCAGACAGCTATACCCAGACAAGTAGCCAATTAAAGTCTAAACAATTTTATTTCACCCTTTCTCATGAAGCTGCTGGAAGTTTTGCGTTAAGAAAGAATGCAGACAGAGTAAACCCAGGAAAAAGAAGCGTGGGTGTCCAGGAACCAAGGAGGTGAAGAAAATTGCCAGGATGAGGGTGGCGCACGGGCTCAGCCCCCATCAGGCCAAGGGAGCAGTGGTCCACTGGGAGCAGGTCAGAAAGTTTTGAGAGACAGATTTCCAAGGAAATGAAATGGAACCTAATAAATGAAATAAAAGACCACAGGAAAGGAGGTGGGAGGATGATTTTAGGAATAAGTCCATACAAGAAAGTAAGCAAAAGAAAAAGACAAAATAATGATTAACTCCAGGGAGAACAGTGCTGGCAAGAAAGGCAATGTAGTCACAGCACGCTACCTGGCTTGGTGGTGAAGAGCGTGTTCCTCAGCATAGCGATGTAAACACTGGATATCCTAAACAAAATTATGACATCATAGTCGTATGACTGCAGAGAGAAGAGAGGGGAGGGGGTGTGCCCAGGTGTGCAGGTGATAAGGATTGTGGATGGGGGAGCTCGTCCTAAACCCTCCTCTCCCCTCATGACGTCATAGGCTATCCTCCAAACCGGAAACGGGGAATCCAGGAGGGGTGCTACGCGCTTGTTCTTAGGAGAGAAGGAGATAAATACAAAAGGAATCCAAAGTGGGAAAAGATGAGTGGGTGGGCAGGTGTGGCTGTTTCTCTTAATACACAGAAACACTTGACTTTTAAAAACTCTGGGCATGTGTAGCGTTAATCAAGCTAAAAGCAGATGTAAAAGTGGGTTGAATGCTTTTCTCTGGTGACACAGCTCTTCTAGAATGTTTTTCTGATCTCCTCTCATGATGGGATCTACTTGCTGAAACTCTGTGGTCCTTCGGACTTGTATCCCAGGCCAATATGACAAAATGGAGGAGAGAGTACCGATGAAGGACGAGGGAAGGGCAGCTCTTCCCCTGAAAGGGAGATGCTGTTTTGGGGATGTTGTCAAGGCCATATCTTTGTCACCCCTCTCCCCCCACACATCACAAACACCACCACAGAACCACAGCAACACAAAAACCAACCTCCCTCCTGCTGTCAGCGCCCTCATGGAGACTAAGGCATCCTACATGATAGGGAAATTTCTACTCTCGACCCTCAGTTGAATGGCCAGAGAATTCAGACCGATCCAAAATTAACCCATGTGGCCAGGAAGATGACTTTGATGAAAAAAGGATTCACATGAAATATCTTCTCAAATATCTGTAATCAAGGGGGTTTTCTGCCTTGGGAATTGGTTTTGCCATTTCTTTCCTTATCAGAAGTGGAGACGTTTTGCTTGACCACGTGAACCGTTTCACGGCAAATCCATTTCCCAGATACACCGCGTGAGAGGAGGCTATGAGTTCAGAGCTGGTCGTGAAGACACAGATCAACTCCTAGGAAATGACTGTTGGCTGACTTTATAACTTCAGGTGTATATCCATGTGCCTCCCCCCTTTTTAGGTCTAAATCTGTCAGGGGAGCCACCTTGTGCTGCCTCAGAATCCTCTCTTTGTGTTGGGGACGGAGAGAAGGAGGAGAGGAAGGAGGGCAACAGACACAGCTCGGGAAGCTCCTGTCCTCACCCAAGTTCAAGAGCTGTCAGGGAAACAGACAGATCAACCTCGAAGGTGGGAACTGTGGTTCTGAGTGGTCTCTGCCTATCTCCTTTCTAGATTTATGCCTCTTTTTTCTTGTTAGTGTCCAGTGTGGCAAAACTCGCTAGGGCCACCTAGAGGTTTCCTGGCACAGAAACCCCGTGAGGCAAACAGACGCCTCCAGACATTGCGCTCAATCAGACGGCGACTTGGGCTGTGAACTTGGGATGATCTCACAGTTGATTAAAAAATCCCAAGTCCCTTATTATTTCGTACCTGAATAGAGATGCCTGTCACCCTGCGGAGGTCACTGCAATGCGGCATCAATGCCAGGCAGACTGGGGGGCTTTGGGCTGAGAAACATGAAAATGCTATAGTCCAGACCGCGCCTTGAAAAACCGCTAATCTGGAAACACTCAAATGCACGGTACTATAAAGTAGCACACCCGCCGCAGGAGCAGCGATGATTTAAAATCGGATGCTCGGAACCGGTTGGATAATTGAGCGGCTGGGTTTTCACAAGGCCAGATACAAATACAGAGCTGTGTCAGTAGCTTATTGTGTGTCAACACGGAACTTTACTGGAGTTAATGCGTCAATTAGTTATTAATGAAAACTGATGAGAACGCTGTATCGAAGTTCAGGCTCTGTAAAGAATCATTAAGACCTCCAGACCTTGTTCCCATTGAGGACCACGTTTCTGACCACAAGTTTTTTTGTACCAATTAACCTTTTGTCCCTCCATTTATTTTCCTTTGCACACTGCTGCAGGAGATTTCTCCATCTGCCGGTGAGCATGGGGGTCGTCGTCCTCAGAATACAGCTGTGAGGTCAGGATCATCTCTGCCATCCGACTCCTTGGTGGCAGTGGCTAATGACAGACTTCCAGCCCGTGGCAAAGGTCTGCACGTGGGATTGCCTGAGACTCACCTGCCGCCCCCCCAGGAGCAAGTCTCAACAGACCCCACACCACGCATTTCCTCAGATGCTCAAGAACCTTCTTCCTTTGAGTCCAAAGGAACCTCTCTCTGCCATGACCTTGCTACCTCTGTGGCTGCCTTTTGTCCTTCTCTGGGGAAAAGAGCAGATCACACAACCCTGGGAATTCACAGTGTGGAACCACAAGACCACAGCCAGGGTGCAAGGGAGACTCTGACACAAAGCTCCCCCGACAGAAAAGCGATAGCAGAGGGTGTGTCCCCGTCACTCTTGCCAGGGAAACCTTCATCTGGGCAGAGACTTTCAGGTTCAGTTCCACTGAGGTCCACTGGAAAAACTCATCTTGAAATACCAGCTTCAGGACCAGGTTCAGCTAGTTCACACCAAGAGGAAGGGAAACACAAGACATTTTTCCCTTCGGGGGGGAAATACGGGTGTGGGGAAGTGCGGGTCCCCTGCCCTCCTGTAGGAAATGACAGTGGGAAATGTCAAGGATCTGGATTCATCGCTCTAAAGGATGGTGTGGTTCCGTCTAGCCCAGGGCAGCCCACGGAGATCCCCGCAGCCCCTTCGAAAACCCTCAGGAAGAGGAGTTTGGAAGGAATGAGAAAGCAAACTCGCGTGGAGTTCAGCGACACCAGCAGCGATGATGAAGATCGGTTGGTGATAGAGATCTGAAACTTCCAGAGGAAGATGCGTCCACGGTCAGAGACTGATGACGCTTCACAGTAAATGCCGTCAGGCAGGCAGGAGAAGTGAACTCTGTTCATGAAGCCCCTACAGAGAGGAAAGCCATTTGGGGGTCTTTCTAAGATCTCCCCAACCAACTCTGAAACCCAAACGCAGCTTCACCCTTCCCAAGAGGCCCTGCTCACAAGGCACCAGGCTGGGCAAAGCTGGCAGTGAAGCAAGGTCTAAGAAGTCTTGACCTACACAGTGACTGTGGCTTGACTCCCAGCTGTATCCACTGCATTGGTCCTTCACTGCCTCATCTGGGAAAATGGCATTGACCCAGAGAGCCACGATCGACTCGTTTCCGAACAAATGTGAACCCCCCCCAGAGTCAAGGTGACAGGTTTCCTCTGTTAGTGAGCTGGGGGTTGGCTTCAAAGGGAGTGAGCATACTTGGGAAAACTGGGGTAGCTTGCAGAAGAGA